AGCAAATTATAATGTCTACCTTTTTGGTATGTTCGTTAGTTTTTGTACTTGTTTAATAAGAACACTTTTGTATATCACATATATAGATATGTATTCCAGAACCCATGCTTCTACGAGGTGCTTTCAATGATGCACAGCTAACAAAAACAAAGATTTGCTTTTTATTTCTGCAGTATGTAAATTAATTTAGCTAAAAGCGACTGGATACTGAAATGATATTTGATAAGTTTATAAGGTCTGTAATTGCATCAAATTACAACTTTTATACTTTTATGAGCGGATACTTCTTAACAACAAAATTATTGCACTTAAACGATGATTTTGCTACTTCGAAGTATTAGCTCTTAAAAAATATCATTGCAGTTTCCGCGGAAATAAATAACCCTAATTTAAAGAAACCAAAAATCTACTCTAATATTTGAAAACGTCACGAAAAAGACACCCTCGGTTGTTTTTATAATTCAGAAATACGAAGTGTTGCCGGCAAATAACCTTATCTAGAAAACAATATTTTCCCACTCATTGTTTCAAAATTTTTAAATGATATTCCTGCTTGATGAATTGCCTTACTATGCGCTTAAGACAAGTTTTTGAAATCCTAGGAATTCTATAATTCGAAAAATTTTTGGTTGCCGATCCCTAAGTTTCCCGAAAAAAAGTAGGGAGATTCCTTTGTTCTTGTATTTGTTCTATCGACGAATACAGGTGCATCGGCTGTTTTCACAGCATTTAAACATATCATCACTTTTACTTCCTGAAGAGAAAAGCAGAAACCAAAGATTTTGCAAATTCCGAAGAAGTTTGCAAGCTGGTAAGATATTCGCCTTTTACGATTTTTGATTAGAAATGAGTGGATAGACAATAAACAAAGTTGCAACTTGATGACGTAGGACAATATAGAGTCAAAATAATGAAGTCTATGAATTATGATGAACAAAAGTTTTGATAGAAAAGCCAGTGCTTTTGTCAAAAAAGCTTTTGTTACGTTGGAAATAGATTTATGCAGTTTTGGAGTGATAAGATTTTTAGTTGACAAATTGCAAGTTTTCCATTTCCACTTGTATTTCCTTATTTCTTTCTCTTGAACCTAACTATGTAAAGTTCGAGTAAGATCTGGAAGAGCATATTTCCTATCATAACAAAGCAAATTTAGCTCTATTGTCTCCCATTTGCCACATCAGTCTGCAACACATACATAGATCCTGGAATAATGGATTTTCCCAGAGGAAACTGGAGGGATTTTTTTTTGTATTTTGAAGTTGTCCAGCAACATCTTTTCCCAATAAATTATAGTGATTTCGAGAAAACTTTAAAGAAACAGAACCAAGTACTTTGTGTGTTCCATAGATACTTAAAAAAGAAATTAAATCTAAACAAAATAGTGAGCAAAAACGAGGAGTCCACTGGCAAACCAGAACTGTCCGCTCGCCTGTGTAACGTGATAAAGCTGCCACAATTCGATCTCGATCTCTTGAATGTGGTTTAAGACATTCAATTCTACTCATTCATTAGTTGAGTTATTTGCATTTTCCATTATGTCGTTTCTGTAGCAATCAATTGTTAATTTTTAAATCAAATAGTTTTCACTAATATAGCGAGTCAGTTCACTGATGCGAATCATTTCAGAAAATAAAGGAAAAACTGCATTTAACAAGAAACGATCGAATTTTCGAAGAGAAGGGTGAAAAGATAATGAAGGAAAATGAACAGCAAAAAAAAGAGAAAGAAATAGGTATAAATGTAATGGATTCTGATCGAAAAGCAGTGAATTCAATAGCAGCTCCAAGAAAATCGATTTGTGCTGGAATTCTTACAAAGCTAAACAAGCCATTCCAAAATGAGGAACCATCCGGAATTACTCGAGAACAGCACCAATGCTATAATGGACATGATGAGGATCATAACCAGAAGCATCATCAGCAAATTTATGATTTTACTGGTTCACTGAAAGACGAGTTGTCAGTACCAGCATTTGGAACAGGCACCAATGAAACAGTTCTTCAGGCGGTGTTTGTTGTTTTTATTCATCAAATATTTTCATTTCACGCACTTTTTTTTGATTATATTAATGTTTCACTTCTATTATTCGTATGCTTTAACTATTGTCAACAAAATACATTTCACTACATTTCAAAATACAACTCACATTTCACAGTATGAAGTGATTTATTTCATTCTAAAGATGAATTTAAGGAAAAGACGTCTAGTTTCACTGATATCCAATTAACCACTTTTTTCTTGTTCTATTCATTTTTTTTATTATGCCATTTTCAACTAGCATTGACTAATTCATCAAAAATATTTTATTGCATTGCCTGAGAATTCTCAGGAATTTCGAAAAGAGCAGAGAGGAAAAAATTGCAATTTTAATGATACTAGCTAAAATGTTGCTTTTGATAGCCAGTTAGATGACAAACACAACAATTGCCGTTAAATGGACATTTTTCTACAGTATACTTACTTTTATTTCATCTGATATTATACTTCTTGTAAAAAAAGGAAAAAAAGTACAGTAACTAAACTGAAGAGATAACCGAGAGGGAGTATTTTCCCACCAGCCGCTACCACACTTTCAGTCGTGAAAAACACTTCTTTAAGACATTTCTCGGTGTATGATTGTCATCTCAATGTTATTCATCATTTTTTTTTCTTTAAACAAGTTATGTATTTCTATAATCTGTCATGTAAGGATTATTGTTGTAGACTTACCTCCCACCAATGATATAGAAAATCAGTGCAGTGCTTTCACTTTCTGGATTTTCAATTTCTGGAGATAACCAAAACTAGAAGAGTTTTCGAATATTCCATCCGTCAATTTCTCTTGGAATTTGCTGAAAACTTTCAAAAAGTTAGTGTTTCTTTTTTTTTTGAAATAACTATCTTGACCAGTTAACAAGAATTTGTTTAGTACTCAATGCATTTGATAAAGCCTCCTTATTGCTGTACTGAAATTTGAAGTTTCAGATCAGGCTGATAGTAAATTTGTAAGCTGAAATCGAATTTCAGTTCAATGGATTAAGTAAGCTTTCAGTCTACTTTATTATTTCAAAATAAACCCATTGCAGAGAATCATTGATTAAGTACCCATTTACCGTATGCAACACGGACCCACCGGGATTATGTTCCTCCTTCAACACAATCAATAATGGCAACAAAGAAGAATTTCACTGTGCGCTTCGTATTAATCGATATTTTGAATGAAAAGCTATCCGCGAGCAATTTAAAAAAGATTTTTGGTTGAATCTATCATTAGTATATCATCATACTCCTTAATTGATGACTCTTGATATCCCCAGAAAGGTACGTTCAACTGAAGGTTAACTAAAGTTTAGTTTTTTCTTCAACTAAAGTTTATTTCGCACTTTTAAACTGATGAAAACATAGTGCGTCTAGCTCTTTGAAAGTTGGTGCAGTTGGACGATATTTATCTTAATTATTGCTCACCAGATTAATCGTTTTTTGGTCTGAAAGCATTAACTTTATTCTTCTTTCAAAAATTTTAAAAGATGCATTTTGCCAAAAGTTCCATTAATATCCCTCCTTTTTGTTGCGCTTCCTTTTATTTAGTATATAATGGTGAAAATAATACAAATGAAATAGTTTTAATCTCTTGAGAAGTTGGCATAATTGTCATTTGTTAATTTAAATCTTTTATTACAAGCTCCTTTTGTAAGATTTGCAAAAAATCAAAAGTGAGGGAGAAGTAATGAGGACGGAAGCGTGTTTATTCTATATTACAAGAAATTTTTTGCTAGAATTATGATCGAAAAGACCAATTTTACTACTTTACCTGCAGAATATTTGTTCCACATTATTTGTAAGTAGCTTTCAAAATGGGAACTTGAATTACAGCTTGAGGATTTGCGGAGTAGGGGAACAGAAGGTGAACTGGATTTGTACAAATATTTATATTTTCCGGATATGAACTTGTCACCCCAATCTCGATCACTGGCTGGTGTTAGCCTTTTTAGCAAATTTTAAAGTAGTTTCACTGCAGTAACGATACATTATTCTAGCCAAAAAAGTGTAAATAATACGCGACAGCTTTACAAATCAGAACTTATTCTACGCAACTTCTTTAAATTGCTTTGTTATCGGAAAGGTCACAAGTAGAGAACAAGAGAGTAAGGTGTTTTTATTTTAGTTTTAATAATATGTTATTCCAACTTAAAAATGCGAAATTCTACTGGTTCTCTGTTGTGCACCAATAGAATAGTGAATCAATAATTTTGATTGTAGTTGAAGTAGTGAAATGTGTGATCTTGGATACATGCATTCTACTGAAGCAGTGGAATTACTGGAAAACAGAGGTTTCTTGAAGCAGAAAGATTACATTTGAGAGCTATTAGATCATACCAGTAAAAATGTTTTCGAGTTCTCTTTATAAAACCTGAACAACCAAAATTTCTATAATTTAATTTTCCAATCTGAATGAGTACTTTGCTGCAATCAACAAAGTTTTTGCATTTACGGGAATTACGGGACTGTGGAATAATAAATAAGGAGGAGCCACCATCTACGGTGAGTTTTAGTAACCCAAATCAAAAACTAAATTTAATTTCCAGTATCAGTCACCGGGAATAAATTTCAAATTTCAAGAGTAATTTTCTAAGTAATTTTCTTAGAAAGCTAAGTAATTTTCTTTAACGGTTTTGTCTAAATTTTTAAGTGTTCAAATGACCAAACATTATTGTTGCAAACAAACTGGAACAAAAGGTAGAATTAGGAGGTGAGAAGAAAAAAATTTTTCACGAAAAATTCGGATTCAAACTACGTTGACATTGTTCCAGGTAGGACATCGGTACTGAAACTGGATATTATTTTCATTATCGGGTCATTTGTAAAGAAAAAAGGACTTATTAATTTGGGAATTTTCAAGCTAAAGTAGAAGACGTTGAAAATTTTCCGTTTGAACTGGTTTCTTCGGCTCAAGCATAGAAAATTATTAAAGAATCCAACAGAATCGCATACTGCACAATTGTCATTATGCCGAGGGCTTTCTGGTAGAGTGAAAGGAAGAACATGACTGCTGTACAGCAATGGATGAATCGGTTATTTTAGTGGTTACTGTCCCAGCGATTGATTTCAGCTGAAATTTACGGAATATGATTTAGAAGTGAGTTCAAATGCTTGTCAAAAACATGTAATCATAAGCAAATATAAATTTCTTTCATTTGAACTGTTTTTTTTTCTTGAACCTTCAAGAACTTTTTGAATTTCCAAAGTACAATATTTAATTCTGTGTCAAATTTTGCAACATATATTTACTTCGATTTCAATTACAGATGAATTGGAACGTCTTCAGCAGCAGTTTCTGATAGCTCTCTCTATATAAACGAAGGAACGATAACCTTATAATCCTTTATATGTAAAAAGTACTGATAAATATTTGAGAATGCACAAAGAATAGATGGGACAATGATTAGTGCATGAAGCGTTCCCAGTGAGATTACTACCACCACAGCTTTCGTAAATACCTGTAATTGAGAAAGCTGCTCCAAACAAAAATATCTTTTAAGCCTCAAGAATCTAATTTGAGAAATCACTATATGTTGCAAGGAAAACAGTAAAATTTTATAAATAATACGTACTTCACTCATATAACTGGGAACAAGCAATAGGATTAGGACAAAGAACATCGTTGAGAAACTGCACTGAAGCAATGGAAAGCCAATGACGCTGAATGATTGTGCAAGTCGTTCTTTCACTGATGTTAGATCTGGATTCAATCGAGTGCGATGGTAATGAAAAGTAAGATGAGCCGGAAAGTCAACAGACAAACCGATAGATATAATCATTGTTGCCATCGAAACCGGGTCGACATCGACATTCCAAAAAGACAAGAAGCCAAATACTCCTGCAAAATCAGTTTGAATCCCACTTCAATCTTCAAAATAATTTACGAAATCTCGCAAGTGGTATTTTTAAACTAATTTTGCTATTTAAATTTTGGAAATATGTCCAATGAGCTTACCAACACATATTGAAGCGGTTGATGAGATTGCAATTATGACGGTAAAGAGATCAGGCATAAAAATGTAACACACTACTGCCATACATGTCAGTATCACAAGAGATGTTTGCAAAGTCGTCGCTACCAAAGAATCAATTTGATCGGTAAACAAAGCTTCTTCTTCATATACTGAGGCTCCAAGGTCCTATAAAAGTAATCAAATACATGTAGAGACAATTTGCACAACTGCATGCTATTTCAATCTCAATTGAGATTTGATGAATTAGCGCTAAAAGCTTTTTCTGTGATATGTATATTTTCAATATTATTATACAATGTAAAAATCATATCTTGTAACGATCAACAATTGCTCGCCAAGCTTTTAGCATTTTCAATCGTTGTATCCAATCTGATTGATTTTTACCATGATAAGTAACGGTGACGTAAAAGGCTGTAAGACTGAAACTTGCTTGCGTAAAAGCTTCTCGAATTTTCCTAAGCTACTATTAACATTGTCCATTTGTGTTGAAATTTTAAAACTTAAGCAAATTACAACAGTACATTCATCAGTTTTTGGCACTCTGCATTATAATGAATTTTCAGTGATTGGAGGAATTTGTGCAGAGCCAAATGAGCAGAGCCTTGTACTCAGCCGAAAGTGACAAAAGCTAGGTTCTACAGTCGAGATATGGACATATCTCATTTTTCACGGTCCATTCCAGATAGATACAAGAAATATTATTGTCATAAATTATACTCCTAAAGAAGAAAGTGGGGAGTTCAAAAACTAGTATTCATTTGAGTATCAGAAATTGATCACCGATTAGTATGATTGTCGAATTTCATAAATCCACCCAAGGATTCGTATTCGGGCCATTCCAGGAATTTAAGCAAATCATCTGAGGTGTAGTCATCAAATTCACTCCCATCGGTTTCTTCATTCTTCGACTCCAAATACGTCTCATAATCACGAAGCCAGAAATGCGTAAACCTGGAGCCTTTGCAGCCGGGTACTGTTTCAAACTGAGATACCAGTGTTTTCATACGTTCTCGTCTGGATGAATTTCGTATATCTCCCGGTTCTAGGATGAACACCGTCACGAAAGTGTACGATGGCATGATAATTTTATCGTGTAGCTCATTCACCTGGAAATTCTTTGTTATTCATTGAAATATTAAAGTTAAACTTAAATAAAACGAAACAAAATTTACGTACTTCAATCATAGGTGAATCAGCCAAAAATAATTTTCCTGGTGTCAGACAACCCTTCGCCATTAACGCATATTTAATGCTCGCTGTCAAGTAAATCACAAGCAGAATCAATATCAAAAATGTCGTGAAACCACTTGATAGGTATTTGCAATAATTGTTTAAGAAAGTTGTAATCTAAAAAAGTAAAATTAAAACTTTGGGGCATAGATTATTATATCATCAAAAAAGTTTTCCTTGACTTGCGGCAATGGCACGAAATTGGCTAGTACAATATCTAAACTGCAGAGGCACTAATCCCATAACTTTTAAAACTCATGTAAATTATTTCAAACTTGGCAGTATCAATTAATGCAAACATTCAAGCTTGCTGCATTCTTATATATCAGTGGTTCCCAAACGACAGTTTACGGACCTAAGTGGTCCAAAAGAACTAAAACATGATCCGCAAAGGCTATAAAAAATGTTGTCCCTTTTTATGTTATAATTTATTTACTCTTTTTATTTTGAGTCTAAAGAAAAATAACCGTGATGATTGCGATCTCATCAACCGTTTCAACATGTGTTGGTAAGCTTGGTATGCCATATTTTAGTACTTCAAATTAATAGAGTTTGGTGATCAGTACCACAAATAAAAAAGTCAAAGTGACCCTTGGTTAAGAAAGGGTTGCAGACTACTATTATGCATTGTCTTATCATGACTTTTTGACATTAGTAGTAAGTTTGATGCTATTAAGGTGCAATGAATGCTTAGAACACCCATTCCAGAAACAGCCTATAATGAACTCAACAACCAAAACCTAACTATCTAATCGCCTTCTTCTCTGACCTCCTTCTTTTCTTTACTCCGTTTAAAAAATCGAATAAATTAACAAACCATCGATGGTTCCCGAGGTTTCCGTTCCGGATAAATACTTTTTCGCTGCATTTCTATTTGACCTCCAATACACATCACAGCAGCATAAAGCGTTATAGTATACACATAATCCAAAAAAATGGCTACTGCATTAGCGATACAAAGTAATCGGATTTCGGGTGTTGGTGTCGTGAATATGCCAATTCCAAAGGCTAACATGTTTGTCAATGATGTTATAGTTATCGATGGCCCAATATCAGTTAGGACCTAATGAATTGTAATGTAACAAAACTGAGATTCTGTTAAAAAGAACTGCGAACGATCCAAATCCTCTCAAAACAAAACTTCATTGAAAAAAATAACAGACTTACAACTGCCATTCTCTCTCGAATTGTTTTATACGATACGGTTTCATTCCTCATCTCAACGTCTGTTCTATTCCATGCACTGATCATTAAAAAGGCATCGTCAACCCCTAGAACGACATAGATTCCTGGCCAGTTTTGTTATTTCCTATCCTTCCAAATTTATATTTAAACGGCAAACATCGGTCATTAAATTCCAATAATTATTATGAATAGTAAATAAATCATCTACAATAATAGAAACGGTGAATGGAAGAGTATACCTATAGCTAGAATAAGAAACGGTGTAACGCAGAGGATAGAGCCTGGCCGAAGACCCAATAAAATCACAAGGCCAAGAGCCGCTGATGTTGCCATTAGTGGTGTGATACATCCCACGAGAGCATATAGTACTTTGATTTTAGAAAACTGTAATGTAATGAGTTGAATTTCAAATTACTGATATCTTCTTTATCTATACAACAAACGAAAAGGTCCAAAAGAAATATATTGCTGGTAGAAGAAATCACTGAAGAATATCAGTTGCATCTGACTGCTTCACCTATTAAGCTCGGCCTCATCATTTTCCTTCCTTTATTGAACGAGTTAAGCTATATTTCCCATACATTGAAATATATGGAAACAACAAATATCTGAGGAAAATTGTTAAGGATTCCATCAGATAGTAAATTTATTGTTTTATGACATTTATGAACTCTCCCTTATCTTTTTTTGAAAAAGTTCCTTTAACTGAAAAAAAGTTCCTAAAATTTTTTGAAAATGCTTGAAAATGTCCCTTAAATTTTAAAGTCATTCATCCAGATTAAGGTTATACTTGACAAAGACATGTGACGTCATTTTTCGAATTTTACGAGAGCTTGACAGCATTCAACCTGAGCCAACGGTGGGTAAACCGCTGAGAATTCAATATTTCATAACCGAATAAAGCTCTTACGCACTTGAAAAATGATAATGACGAAACTTAGGGAGATTCTTAATTAGAAAATGGCTCCCTAATATTTTGCAGCACTCCAACTACTCTTGCTTGCCAAAAGTGCAGCAGTCTTTTGGAAAATTTGTAAACTTTTGTTGTAGGGACTAAAGATCACTACTGACAAATTTTCAGAAAAAATCTCCAAAAGATTGCAAAAACATAAAAACATATTCAGTTAGTTAAACTACAAAATGACCTGTCTTGTATATGCTGAACTGATACTAACTGTTCCAACAGCAAATATACACATCATAATGAAACCAAGCAGTATGTACGGCATCAGAGCAAGACCGGCACGAATGATTTCATCCTGCGTGTAAGCTAACGAAAATGCGATTGGTCGAATTAAAGAATTGTTGTACTCACTGGAAAATTGAAATTATGGAAATATAAGAGGTAAGAGGAGAAAAGAAGTAAGTGCCTTCTCCACAGCACTGTGCACTGTAATTTCACAGAATTTTCATTTTTAGTTAAGTACAAAGGACCTTTATATTTCATTGCACTAATTAGCTCGTTGTTTTATAGCGCTACATTCAGATGAAAACAACGAAAAGTGACTCTTACTTCTTAAAATAATTTCCAACGAGGCGTTCCCAGCGAAATGTGTCATCGCTGGTCCATTCGTTCGGTCGCTGTGTTCGGAAATGTAGTGCCACTAATTGGACATGCTTGATATTTGTTCCAGAAATTCGATCCACACCATCAGCTGTATATTCAACGCCAAAAAAGTAGGGTGATAAATCAAGATCACGACCGAATAACTGCATTATGGGGAATGAAAGCTCAATTAAATCACGACCATTATTGCTACTCGTATTACTTCTGCTAATGTTTCTATCGAGATATTTCGCAGTGTTGAGAAGTAAACCATTCTGGAAATTAACAGATTTCTTCGTTGTTATTAAAAAAAGGAATCCAATGTCACATATAGAAATGATCTGACACCTCGTCACTTCTTCGCACTAACATGTAAACCGTAGAAGTGAGTCAGTCATACCTATAATCTAAGTAACTTTCCTTCTCAACTCACACACCAATAGATTTAAGTACTTTTTCTTCCTTATCATCTCAATTTTATGCTAACTTATATTAGTATGAACAGTATTTAATAAGGTCGAAAAACTTGAATAAAAAAAAGCTTGTGATAGTTACTAAAAGAGAATAGAATGAATCATTAATGAGAGTGAGAGGGATTTCATTATAATTAAGCTTTCAAAAGGTTTAGTCAAAGGATTAGTAGGATTCACTCTACTCTCTCTCAGTGTAACTTTTCACTTTTCGGAGTAACAAATCCAATTATTGGAGTTATATTAAAACGGGAGAAGTTGTTAGATATGCAAAATGATAGTAATGACTTTCCAAAAAGATAAAAAATAAAAGAAAAGCGTAGAGCTGTTTACTCTGAATTGCCGAACAGGTTCATTGACATCACAAAAATTTCTGCACATTCGGTAATAGGTATAATTCTTGACGGGGAAATGCGTTCCTACATAGTCAACGATATTCAAAATTGCATTCAAATGAGGTAATCGGGCAACTGAGCCACCATCTTTTGCCGTAACAATGATAATTACTACCACCGGATCTTTACCATCGTTGAATTTCCGAAAAACTTCCAATTCATTGAAGGCGCGAGCATTTGGTGGTGTATAGCCTGATTGCAGGTTATCCTTCGGTTTTACAAATAATAATTTTGAGGATGTTAATATCGTCAGCAATACTATTATCTGAAAATATACTGATAACAGATGGCATAAAAGATCAAGACATAGCATGAAGCTTGGAATTTCAAATATATATTTTGCTACTGCAGCGTTTTTGTTGGGTCATACGATTTAAATTCAAATATTCAAATTTAATTCTAGAACCAATCACTCGCATTTTTAATTTATATACCCACATGCAGCGTTGCATCGAACAGTGGCTGTTTGGTTGGTTGTTTCATGAAAAATTGGTCTGACAGGGAACCAAAAACGAAAAAATTCTAAACACGGTGTAAAACAAAAACAGCCCACTAGTAGGTTTTAACTACATGGCCAAAAATGAGGCTAGTCCATCCACGTAATTTAACTCTCTTGTGTTTGTTACTCCATGCAATAGTTCCTTCCAGCTTTCTTAGCTTCAACTCCAGGCTTCACTAAAGACAGACTTCCAGGACATCAGGACGAAATTATGTTTGTCAAAATAAAATTTGTAAGGGAATATTTGCATTTTTCTAGAACATTTAGAACAGGCAGCGGATTTCGGACAGCAACGAATAATGATTACCATATTGCAGTTCCAATACAATAATTATAGCAACTTCAATTAAAAAATTACATTTCAGCAAAAAGGTGGGGACAGTTTGGTTGTCCAAATGATTTAAATACCCAGTGTTATAAAACGAGATGTACATTTCTATTACTAAATAATTTAAAAATTATAATTTTTCATGCAGATGATTCGCCGTCATATATTCGACCGTAGATTAATTAATTCATGAAATGCGATGCATGTAACAGAAGATTCCAGCAATGTTTGGTCGATTTTATCGGTGATATTCAATTTCTGAATAAATATGGGAAGCGGATGGTCGATTTTAAAGTGAGTTTCAATTCATTCTCAACAGCTAATAATTACGTTATTGATTATTCAGGATTGACTCGACGCTCTTTTGTAACAATCTGACTAACTTGTCAATTGCTTTTTGAGTCATTTAATTGGACATATCTTTGAGTCCAAACTGTGCTCTGGACACGAATTCATTTTCCTATTTATTCCTATCAGCCGGGTCGTCTTGTTCATGCACTTACTGCTCACTGATTGTAACAAAAAAATGAAAAGTAAAATAAAATGAGGAACCGTAAGAACTATGATGAGACAATAGGTTTTCGCATGAATATCACAACATAAATTTTTAGATCTTCAAAATAATGGAATATAACGGAATATGACGAACTAATGGGATATAACGAATTAAGGCTTTATTCCCGAGGAGGATAAAATTGAATGTGGTAAAACTGGCATAATGTCACTAGATTCTTTCTAGTTACCATAGTTTCAAGTCAGTTCCAGAATATTTCAAGTTCCTCTAAGAAATTCATAAATTAGTTTCCCAGACTGTTCTACTAAGCGTGGTAATCAAAATAATTGCGTCCAACACTTGGCAAAATTCATTCCTCTGTACGTCGTATCAAATTTGCAGAGCCATTTCAGGGAAACAACCTTCTTTTTATTCTTTCCTTTCTTCTCTTGATCTCCTTTTAGGGGAAAAAGGGGTAAGGAACTGAAACAGGTTTTACTGCAATTTCAAACACATAAACAAAATATGCATTTTCCAGACCAGTTTTTCCATTTTTACGGTTGAGAATTTTGACAATTTTAAAGGATTTTTGAGCACTGCACCAATTTGGCTGTCGAGAAAATTAGAATACTCGATTTTGCAGCACACCAAAATCTTTGGTCGTAAAAAAGAAAACTTTTTTTTTAAAAAAGAAAAAAAAGAAAGTTTTACAATTTAACATTTTCACTGCTGAATGCAGTAAACTTATGATAACGGATTGCAATCGCATTATTCTATTACTCTTTGTCGAAACATCTATCTTAAGAAGGTTGCAGGTAAGAATTTGAAAACTATTCCAAGTTCAGTCGATTAGAAGGAAATGCCTTGAAATGATGGGAACTGAAACATTTTAAAAATGATGTTACTGTGATGTTGACCCCTGGGATCACCATAATAATAAGATCGATCCGACTTCTATTATATGTATTCCTAATGACGGGTGAAGTGGATTGACGGGTGAATTGATGGATCAGTCTGTTTTGAACCGTTTATTTTTATGGTTGAAGCATTTTCATGTTCCTATTAAATAGACTTAAATAACGAACTTATTTTCATTATGATTCAACATGAAATTCCAAATATTTTACTGCGTAGAAGCAACATCGAAAACAGTAAATATCCATAACCAACAAAAATAGGTGCTACTGTTTCTCCTAAGGAAAAAATCACTACGTGGTTTTAATCCATTGTCCAATTCTTCACAACCACTGAATTCAGAATATCAGATACTCATGTTACGGGGATACTGGGATATGCTTCCACAAATATTGTCATTCAACAGGCAGCTCATATTTATACAACAAATACAGTTCATGATAACTTGTAATATGTACTTCAAAAGTTGGGAAATTAGAAAATTCACTTACCGTGACAACCGTGCGTGGATAATCGGCAGATATATAAGCGGTCTGCTTAAGAAAGCAATGTAAGAAGTGGATGAATTTGGTCGGTCGATGAGATGTCGCTGAGATTGCATCGCGCATTTTTCGCTTCTAAAACGTTCGAAGGAGTTATTATACAAGATGTGAGACGAGTCTCACTACTGTCGCTTCTACTGCTATTTATTGAACATGTCACAAAAGAAATGGCAAGGTTTCGCTTGCTGACGACAATCGTTGAACCAGAGTGGAGGATGGATAGGGGGGAAAAATGGGGGCGGAAAAGGAGAAAGGGTGAACTGAAACGTGATGAATCCTAAGCTAAGCAGGCGGATTTTTAAACCGGTCTGCATTCGTTTCATCTTCGTCTTTTCCGGAAGTCCAGTTGCAATGAATTAGCCTTCTCACTACTACGGATTTTTGAGTTGTTCCCTTGACCCGAATGGCATGCAATAAAACCTTACAGTCTTGAGACTATCAGGTTTCCTGCTTATCAAATCGCGAAAAATTGGCACTCGATTAATAGTGATAGATGATATATATATATATATATCATCTATATATATATCATCTATCATATATATATATATACATATATCGATTGTCCCTATACGTGTGCTTCACGGAATACAGAGAAACAAAATATATTTGAATTTATAACTGAATTTGTAATCATAAATGAGAATTTATATTCTCATGGTTCATTACTATTGAAGCAGTCGGGAAGAAGTAATCCTTGATTACTTTTTACTTACGTCTCTATTTATGATTGCTTTTGTCTTGACAGGCATTAATTTTTGTCAACTATAAATTCTCGTTATGGATTTCATAATTTTGCAAGGACTTTTACAATTTCCAAATTTCATGATTTTAAAAGATATTTTGGTGAAATTGGCATGAAAATGGTACTATTCAGATTGCAGCGACAAGTTCTCGTAAAAGATGAAGATGTTGAATGAATGATCGATTTGTTAACAAAGGAAAAAATTTTTTCCCACATGCGATCTTTTTTAATAGAGAATTTGTTTATTTGCTTATTTGATAAACGAACTGCTCACATCATTTTTACACATCCACTGGTTCATTCAAGGTCAGTTAAGATGAAGTCTTCATTACACCTCGCTTTTTTCCCCAATAGATCAAACATTAAATTTAATAGTTACTTCGATTTGCTGCCTTCTCAGCACTTCTTTTCCTGCTTCCAAATATCACAAATGACAATTAATTATGTTTAATCCCTATACAACATACATATTTCTGGTCGTCGAAATATTCAGATGGATGATAATGAATGCAATAGGCCACATTTTAAAACTTCCAAGTGGGAACTGACTATGTTACGATTTCCAGACCCATTTCAGCAGTTTGAAAGAACCTTTCCGTGTGCTGCTAGCTCACTCTGCTTAGTCTCAGCGTTGCATCAACATTTACAAAAGTTTCGTTCCCAAGTGAAACTTCCTCCACAATAGTTAGGGAAGAGTATAGCAAATTAATACGAATAAAAATGTGAATGTTCTGCTGTTACTTACCTTAAATCTCCGAAATTTTCATCGATTGCTTTGAAATTCTGACACAACGTTGTATGCGAATATGTGCATATTTTAATATATCCATGTTATATAGATGTCACAACTGTGACAGGTAAAATCATGCTTTTTTTGAGTTATGTATAAAGGAGGAGTTTTGTCAAGGTCCACCAGGGTCATCATGGAGGTCTTATATGTTCTTGTTTGAATACTGTCGACACTGGTAAATATGTGTAGTTCAAACTCGTGTTGTAAAATGTTGTAAATTAACTCATGTTGATTACCAAGTTTCGGGTCAATGTTGGCACATTCTAAAGAATCCCAGATCACTGTCGGCACATTCTAAAAGATCTCAGGTTTCGGGGTCAATTGGTTTGACCTTATGAATCGTTGTGAACAACCTCCCCCCATATAAACTTTAAAACCGGGAGGCCGGACACATTCTGTTTTATCTACGCACAGCAATATCTCCCGACCCTGTTCACCTTCAAATCGTCACTACCACCGCATAGTTTGTCTAAATTATACCAAAATTTGCTGCTGAACTGTTATTACATTCACTACAAATAAACCTTTCTATTGATGGACTGCTCACTACACAAATCAATCTAGCTTTCTCGACAATTTTCGGTGAGTTTTGATGTATTTCTTGGTAACTATTTGAGTATAGATCTTTTGTCGTATATGCAATCAAGTATTCCTAACCTAACGCTTGAGCAAAAACGCAATTTACGATCTAATAATGCAAATTGTCAATAACGGGGTTAGGAGTTCTTAGATACGCCAGGAAAAACCGGTGAAACGTTCCTAATTAGATCGATTCTGGCAACAATTCGATCCCAAAATGACATGGCCTTATCTCTTGTCGTCCGGAATAGCTGCGATATTGCTACAAGGTGGAAGAACTGTTACATTCAATTTAACCAGGAATGAACTGCTCATCGAATCCCATCCAGTCTAATTTGAAATTGCCATTGAACATGCAATTTATTGAAACTCTCACGTGTAACATTTCCAAAGCATTCGATATGGAAAAATATTGTAAAAATGCAAACTTATTGTTTGGAATGAATACACAATGATGCACGAAAAATCGCTTGAGGCTCTTGGCAAACATAACTTGCAATTCCTCGATCGACATATCGGACGAAATAAATGCTTGCCTGTAATATTCTACTTTGCGGTAACACGTAAAAACGTGAAAATTAACTATAAAAATGCGTGTCCAGCTGCAAAATTGTCAGCTGAGATATTCTCATATCAATTAATGGAAATTGGAAGCAGAGTGGTGCCGGTTGATCTGACCTCAGGACGAATTTTATTGCCTCGTAATTTCTGCGATTTAGTGACGTCAAAAGAAGAATTGTTTTGAAAAAGTATTTCCCAATATTAAAACCAATTTAAGAATCACGATTAGCTGAATGATAGAGTTATTCTTGCAGTCAGAAATAAAACGTCTACGAACTTGAAAGTATTATTCAGTCTAACATCCAAAGTAAGGCAGTCACATGCAAGCCTTTCGACACTGTTACGGAAACAGACAAGCGGTTAATTACCCAACAGAATTTTTGAATTCACTCGATCTGCCAGGGATACGACCGCATTTACTGTAGTTGAAAATCGGCATGTTAATTATCATGTTGCGAAATATCAACCAGCCAAAGCTTTGTAAGCACGCGGGTTGTAGTAAAAAATTGATGAGCAACGTCGTAGAAGCAACAATCTTGACAAGACCTTTCAAAGATGAAGACGTCCTCATCCCTTGCATTCTTATGATTCCAACGGATATGCCGTTTCAATTCAAAAGATTGCAATTCCTAGTTCGATTGGCGTTTGCAGTCATCAACAACAAAGC